GGTTGTAAAGGCTAAAGGTTTTTTTTTACCTTTTTAAAGTGGTTGTAAACCTGAAATAAAAAAAAAAAAAAATTAATCAGTTTACCTTGTCCAGTAAAGCATCACAAGTCATATGTGCCCAGTCTTGCAAAGAAGTGTGAATCAATTGAGAAAGCCTCTTCGGTTTCTAGCAGTGTTAAAACCCGGGAACAGGGAAGGGAGCCGAGAGAGGGGAAGTTAGGAAGTGTAGTGGGAGGGAAAGAGGAAGAACCACTGTTCATGGACCTGAAATTACACACAGCGTAATTGTTGTTTTTAAGGCAGGGCAAATGTTATAGAACATATAAAGATTGAGCATAATCTTGCCTAATAGACAAAAGAAAAAATGATGAATAGAAAAAGAGGAGAGGGTCAAGTTGGGGGACATTAAGGCACAAATATATTGAATTCACGGGTCCCAAGTATTGTCAGATTTTCTAGTATTATTGTGTAGTGTACAGGTGTGTTTGTCATTAATCATTATCCAATTCAATTTATTCTTAACACAGTCAAGCGGGATAACCGATTGCTTCCAATGTCAAGCTATTTTAGTTCCCGCTGCCCACAACATATAGGTGATCAATTTATGGCACTTTCTGGGAACATTATCTGGGAATTTATGAAAGAAGGCCATCTCTGGGGATCTGTGAATATTTCACCGAATTGATGAACTGAAACATGCGAATTCAAATTCTGGTTGCTATCAGACATTACCACCAGATGTGAAACATAGAACCCACCTGGCCTCAACACTGGAAACATATCACAGAAGCAGATGGATGCATCCTCTCAGTCTGAGTAGGAACCAAGTACCATCTTAACAATGTTTTATAATTTGCTTCAATTAGGGTAGTGTTGACGGAACTTTAGATAGTGTTAGAGCAATATCTTGCAAAGGTCATAATTGACATTCAGGTTCCGTTCCCAATGCTCCTTATAGGGAAGCTTACAGTTCGGGGGCAGTGAGGAGACCATTTTCTTTTACTTTTACTTTAAATAACAATGATAAACGGAAAATAGAGATGGTGAATCTCCCTAATGGGGACACAGATGGCAATAAAAAACTGACAGTTGTTTTAATCCGTCTGCACTCTATCCAAAACAAAAAAAGTTTTGCCTTTTTATTGTACTTTAATGCATTAAGGTAAAAACGTTTCATGTTCAATTTTCCCCCTAAATACTTACCTCAGCCCTATCACAATCCGGCGCTGAGCCTGAGAGCAGCTGCTGTCTCTCCTCACAGGGACTGAGGCAGCAACGGGAGCCAATGGCTCCTGCTGCTGCCAATAAAATACTGTGAGGAGGGAGGGGGGGGTGGGGCTGAGTCGCACTGTGTGTGTGTCAGTAGACACACACACAAAGCCCAGCTTGGGATCGAGCCCACGTGTGTGCCACCAGTAGGAACAACTTTCAGTGGTGGCACATGGAGAAGATGAGGAGCTGAGAGTGTCAGCGGGGTATCCCAGAAGCAGAGGAACCATTGTGCATTGTACATTTTTTTGTAGTTTTAAAATGATAGTAAAGTTTTTGTTTTTTTAAACTGTAACATAGGCCAGGATTAAAAGATAAAGAAGCTGCCTACTCACTAGGTGATTAAAGCTGTTGAAAAAAACTGGGGGTTTAATATCACTTTAATAAATGGATTGTAGTGCAGGCTGTGGTGAGCGTAACCCTGCGGGGTATAACGAAGAGTAGATAGTATTGCCCACTCTGCGTTTATAATAGAGTCCCTTATTGTTTGTGCCCACCATGTAAATAGGGAAAATTAGAAAATAATTTATTTTACAACTGTTTTCCCCTGATGACTTTATGTAATCAGAAAATGGGATTTCTTTATTGCCCATTGAGGGACACAGAAATTGTAGAAAATCATAGACTGTTGGGCTATATTGATGTCTTCAGGCGGTTGGGACACTAGCAAACAAAACGGTTAATTCAAGTACCCTGTAAAAGTTTGTCTCCAATCAGTATGTGCTAGTTTTTTGCAGTGAACTAGGGGGTTGGGCACTTTTTTTTGTGTTGTTTCTTCAACATACACAATACTATGTTTGCCGGAAAAATGGAAATACACTTAATAGCCCAACTCGGGGTAAATTAAAGAAAAAATAACTTTCGCAGTGGGGCTGTGCCTGCACTGCAAAGACTAACTGCTTGTTTATATCTAGGGTAATAATAAAAGGAAATATTGTTACCCACTCCTCCCTGTAGCTAGACCAGTCTCCACATTTTCTGCACTCTTGCTATCTAGGTTCCTGACGTCATCGAGAGGTCCATAGCCCTGCTCTGGATGTGAGTAGGTCGAATGAAAGTCCACTATCAGATTGTGATCTGTTGGGGAGCTGAGGGAAGGACAAAGCCAGCTATTAACCCTTGGATATTTTTTTTTCTCCCCTCAGTGGGACTTTAAGGTCCGTTACATAGTAGGCAAGCATACTTTGTGGAATATCAGGATCCTGTTCCTTCTGATTCTGCTAAGGAAGGCCATTATATTTTGATTTTCAGCCACCCTGTAGTATTCTAAGTTTCCCCACCCCCAAAATACATTAGGGTTTATGGGATTGTATTTTTTTCCTTGATAGACTCCACAGTCCATTGGAAGTATCTTTACTTTTTTTTTGTCCATAATCAACAGTTTCTGCTGAGAATTTTTTTACTTGGTTTTGGTTGGATGTGTTGTTCTCTATAATCTATCTAGCTGCACATCCTTCTCCTCTTAGAAGTTTTGAGAACTTCCTAATAAGCAATAAAAAGAAAAGCCTGGGAACAAAGAAAGTAAGGGGGAAAAGAATGATTAAATCCCCTCAATAATCATATGCCCCCAAGGCTTTGTCCTCGGACCCCTTCTCTTCTCCATCTACACCTCCTCCCTTGGCAAACTGATACACTCCCACGGCTTCAACTATCACCTCTATGCCGACGACACACAAATTTACTTCTCCACCCCTCACCTCACCCCCCCTCTCTCTCCGCCCGCATCGCCCACCTCCTGAGCGACATATCAGACTGGATGTCGCTCCATTTCCTCAAGTTAAACCTGTCCAAAACTGAGCTCCTGGTTTTCCCCCCCAGCCCACGCACCCCCCATCCTCTCCATCACGACTACCCCACACGCCAAACTCATGGGTGTCATCCTGGACTCAAACCTTTCCTTCCAACCTCATGTCCAATCACTGTCAAAATCATGCAGGCTCCACCTCCGCAACATCTCTAACATACGTACATTCCTCACCCCAGACACTACTAAACAACTCGTACACTCCCTCATCATCTCACGCCTGGACTACTGCAACTCCCTTCTCACTGGCCTACCCAAACAAACGCTATCCCCACTCCAGTCTATCCTGAACTCAGCGGCTAGACTCATCCACCTCACCAACCGCTCCACATCTGCCACCCCCCTCTGCCAATCCCTTCACTGGCTCCCGATTGCCCAGCGCATCAAATTCAAATGACTGACTCTGACCTACAAAGCCATTCACAACGCATTCCCCAAACTACCTAACTGACCTGATACCCAAATACCACCCTACCCGTGCCCTTCGCTCCTCACAGGACCTCCTACTCTTTCTCCCTGGTCTCCTCCTCCCACGCCCAACTCCAGGACTTCTCCAGGACTTCCCCCATCCTCTGGAACTCCCTACCCCAATCCATCAGACTGTCACCTACCCTCCTCACCTTCAGGTGCACCCTGAAAACCCATCTCTTCAGGGAAGCCTACCCCACCCTCACCTAACAACTGATCTCCTCCCACCACTCCATCCCCCACAGCCACTTCCTCCTGTACCACTATCTCCTCCCTCCTAGATTGTAAGCTCAAAAGAGCAGGGCCCTCGAACCCCTCGTGTATTTTATTGTTACTGTATTGTCTCATGTTCTGTCCCCCTCGCTATTGTACAGCGCTGAGCAAACCCTTTGGCGCTGTATAAATTCTGTATAATATAATAATAATATGCCCAACGACTGACCAGAATAGGATGTGGACCTCGTAACCAAAAAAGCTATATAAGAAACAAAAACTTATAGAAATCTAGAAAAGAAGTTACCTTGGGAGAACCATGCAGTTTGAAAAACAATTTATTAAATGCTGTAAAAAAAAATTAAAAAAGTAATACCACTGAAAAAAGTTAATCACAACATTGGATAAACAGAGCCTATCCTATGTACTGTATGTCTAGACATCAATGAGGATGCAAAACACTGTAAGTGGAAAGGCCTACAGCAGGATCAACTCCATAATAATAATAAAAGCGAAACCGTATATTCTGAAATGATTCAAATTAAAAGAAGTCTTCTCCTAGAGCTGTACAATTGGGCCAACTTGTACACATTCGTGCACTCAGTCGTTGCTCTAGATGGTTAACAATGATAATGGTAAAAGCAAAAAAGACAAAGTCAAGCCAAACAAGTTCCATATGCAGCAAGCGATAGGAAGCAGCTGAACAGCAAGTGGTGGGAAGCAATCACTGTTACTGACATTGACAGACTCGGCCATCAACTAAGCACATGCTCAGTGCGGAGTGCTACAAGGATCATAGTATCCATCCATCCATCCCCCTAAACAGCTCCACATCGCCAATCCCACCACTCCTTCCTATCATTAACCACTTGCCCTCCTGAGGATTTACCCCCCCTTCCTGGCCAGTCCATTTTTTGTGTTACGGCGCTGTGTTACTTTGACAATTGCGCGGTCATGCAGCGCTGTACCCAAATTAAATTTACATCCTTTTTTTGGCCAACAAATTGAGCTTTCTTTTGGTGGTATTTGATCACGTGTGTGGTTTTTTGTTTTATTTTTTTTGCACTATGAAAAAAAAAAGACCGACAATTTTGAGAAAAAAAAAAACTATTTTTGACATTAAACATGTCCTGTAAAAAAAAATTTAAAAAAATCTAATTTTGTCATAAATTTAGGCCAAAATGTATTCTGCGACATGTCTTAGCTAAAAAAAAAAAAAAAAAATCCCACAATTTTTTTTTCTCAATGTTTACTAGTAATGGCGGTGATCAACGACTTATAGCGGGACTGCCGGGGGCATTCTGACACTGGGGGGAACGAACTTGTTGTCACTGACATCCCTAGTGACACCAATACAGTGATCAGTGCTAAAGAAAAAAAAGCACTGACACTGTACTAATGGCACTGGGCAGGAAGGGGTTAACATGAGGGGCAATCAAAGCCTTAACTGTGTGCTGGGAGTGTTGTGCACAGCCATCCAAAGCAGTGTGCCCGATCTTACAGGGAGGAGAACTGTTAGTAAACAAAACAGTTTTCCTCCCCATTGGAGATTGTCGGAAATCACTGGGCGCCGGCGAGTAATCGTCGGCCGGGATCCGGTGATTGATAGCTGCAGCCGCGAACTGCGGCGTGGGTAGGGTGCACGCGCGCGCCTCCGCCCCCTACCTAGAAATGCAAAATCACATATGTATACATGTGATTTTTGCGCATCCCTGCCGCTCTGTAGCCCTATTTCTGCCATAGGGTGGTCGGGAAGGGGTTAAAGTCTTTGGTTTCTTATAAGCTTTGAAAACTTCTCTTATTCTTAGCATGGGAACATTCTTCTCAAGTGGAACAAAGGTTTTTTATTTTCTCTATTCTTTTTGTTATGGTAGATTCAAGGGTGGATTTATTTCTTCTCCTTAATAGCAGCATCCTTCTTGTCTTGGATTCTCCCCTCCTTGTAGTGTAGGGTTTAAGATATCCTGTAGATTAGGGCTGTCAAACTCAGTTTCATTGCGGGCCGCATCAGCATTATGGTTGCCCACAAAGGACTGGTTGTAGCTGTAAGACTATACAAATGTATCCACTTGCCTCTGCATTTGAATATTACTGGTTTTGACTTAAGACTTAGGGCTCGTTCACACTTGACTGTTTTACCAACTCTTGCCAAACGCCCCTATAGCGTTTGGCAAGCGTTGGTCCGGCGTTTGCGTAGCGTTTTTTAATGCTCGGCAAACGCTCCGCAAATGCCCACATGCGCGGTTGCTAGGCGTTTTCCGAGCGTTAAAACGCCCCACAAACGCCTATAATGACGTTTGAATGGTGTTACCGCTCCGCAACCGTGCCGCAAACGCCGGCTGGGCGTTTGCGGAGCGGCACCATAGACTAGAATAGGAGGCTTTAATGCCTCCTGACTCGACCAGAGGCGTCCGTTTTGCCGCGACGCTAACGCTCCCGTTAGAACAGCACCATGTGCTGCAATGTGCAGAGGTGTCAGAGGCATTGAGGAAGCGGTAAAAACGTTTCCCAAACGCCTCTCTGCCACCTGCACACAACGCTAGTGTGAATGTAGCCTTATACTGTGAAGGGCAGATGCAGATTAGCATGCAGCCCAATCACACTCCTGTAGCAGATGATGCAAGTCTGGAAAGGATGGTCACTCACCATTGGTATCATCCTTGGTTCTGCCATGGTGTTCTGTCTGAGCAGTCTCCAATAAAGTTTCTTCTGAATGACACCAGTGTGTGTGTGACCCTTATTTTCAACTGGCATAGAATTTTATTATTGTATTATTCTCATAATAATGATATGCAGATGTCTGGAGCAAACCCTCAACTCAAAATCAAGAGTTCCCCACCCTTATGTGCACTGTGTGCACAATTATTAGCCAAGTGAGTATGTTTCCCAAATAATTTTTAAGCATATTGTCAAACTCCAAGCTGTATAAACTTGAATTGTTTATTGGATTTAAGCATATCAGTTTATGGGTATTTGTGTAATGCAGGAGGGTGTGACTTAAGGAGATCAACACCCTATATCAAGGTGGCCATAATTATTAGGCAGCTTCTTTTCCTTAGGCATAAAGGGCCAAAAAAGAGATTTAACAGACTCTGAAAAGTCAGTTGTAAAAAGCTTTTCAGAGGGATGCAACGCTCTTGAAAATGCTAAGATGTTGGGATGTAATCAAAGAACCATCAAATATTTTGTTGCAAATAGTCAATGGGGTCGCATATGTGTTGAGAAAAAAAAGATTTGAGAAGAATCAAACGTGAAGCTACCAGGAACCCATTTTCATCCAGTGTTGTCATATTCCAGAACTGCAACCTATCTGGAGTGCCCAGAAGTACAGGGTATTCAGTGCTCAGAGACATGGCCAAGGTAAGGGAGGCTGAAACCCGATCACCACTGTACAAGACACATAAGTTGAAATGTCAAGTCTGGGCCAAGAAATATCTGAAGACAGATTTATCAAAGGTTTTATGGACTGAAGAGATGAGACTGACTCATCACGGACCAGATGGATGGGTCCGTGGGTGGATCAGTAACACGCACAGAGCTCCACCTCGACTCAGACGCCAGCAAGGCGGAAGTGAGGTACTGGTATGAGCTGTAGTATTAAAGATGAGCTACTTGGATCTTTTCGGGTTGAAGATGGACTCAAAATCAACTCCCAAACCAACTGCCAGTATTTAGAAGACCCTTTCTTCAAGTAATGGTACAGGAAAAAGTCTGCATCTTTGAAGAAGACCATGGTATTTATGCATATCAGTGCAGCTTCATCAGTGCACATTGGTGAAGCAGAAAAATTACCTCTTAGCAAAATTTTATAATAGAAACAAAAACATTTTTTTTCAAATTGTTTGCTTTTTTTGTTTATAGCACAAAAAATAAAACACCCAGTGGCGATTAAATACCACCAAAAGAAAAAAATTATAAAAATTTCATATGGGTACAATGTTGCATGACCGTTCAATTGTCATTCAAAGTGCGACAGTGCTGAAAGCTGAAAATTGGCCTGGGCAGGAAGGGGGTATAAGTGCCCAGTAGACAAGTGGTTAACAGATGAAAATTAACAAGTGAGATGGGAAAATTTTTGTTTTTCATTTAGTTGAATAATAATTCTGCACACTAATAGTTGCCCAATAATTGTGCACACATAGATATTCTCCGAAAAAAAAAAGCCAAAACCTCACTTTTCAGGTTTGAAGTTTATTACCTGTAGTTGTTCAATAATGAAATTAATCCTCAAAAATACAACTTGCCTAATAATTGTACACAGTGTGTATTGCGTGCTTACAAAACTAAGGCACAACAGTTGGAGGTTAGGATATGAAAGGCGCTGGTTTTATGTGATTTATTTTATAGTATGCCTATATAGTAAGCGCAAAAATCTTTTTTCTTTTTTTTTTTTCTTTTTTGTGTGTGTTTATAGAAGTAACTTTGAGCAAGCCAACATTAGTCTTTTGTGATTACCTCCTACCTATTAATAGAACTTTGACCTTGACACTATTTAGAACCGGCCTGAGGCTTTTTGTTTTTTTGGTCAGACCACATAATTTTTATTTAGGATAATGCTGACACCTCAGAGATGCCACAAGCCAATCACAGGGTGTGTGAGTCAGTGTAGCACACATGCCCATCAGTGATGCTTATTCAGGAAGCATGTGATAAGACAGTTCCCCTGTGGTTTTTCTAGCAGTTTGGCCTGTGCAGCTCAGATTTTTCTCTGCCGCACCACAATGCTTTTGTATAATGGACAGAAAATGCTTTATTAATCACTCTTGACTTTGTGTACTCTCTCTTCAGACAGCAGTTCTCTGGACTCTTTCAATTTGCATTAAATCCGCACTCTGGTTGCACTGCATATAAGTGAATAGACACAATAGAAACCAATGTTATTTCATATGTCATGCAAATTGGATGTGGTTCAAAACGCATCCAGTTCACATATATGTGACTCGGCTCTTACTTTGTAATTACAATGGAAAATATGTTTTCCATTGAGTGTATTGCAAAATATTTATGGATAGTTCATACATTCTTTTGAGAAATTACTGTTAGAACTTTGCATGAAATTGATATCTTGGGAAATGTATACTCTTCCTGAAAAAATACCTAGGTATTGTGTTTATAGTGTATGGAGGTATACGTTCTAGGCCAGTAATTAGGAGTTTGTAAAGACTGCATGCCATGCAATCTATCTGCTTGTGTACGGTTGCTGTGGGAAGTCCTTGCTTTCTTTTTTCCAAGTCACTGACCCCATATTTGCATGGGGGCAGTTCTGATTTTAGTAGTGGCATACATGTTCTGGGTCAGTGACTCTACAGGTATAGAAGCAAAAATGAGCATTACAGCCCAGAACGTGCATATAAGAACACAAGTCAGTATTGTCAGCTTGTGTATTTCTACCCTGATTGTTTAACCTCAGACTGTGAGATAGGCATATACAGTGGCTTTCATTAGGTTTCTTATGCTAAGGTTTTGAGAATGTGTCTAGAGTGTTCAAGAGTTTTTGCAGAGATTGGTATGAAAGTGATGAGTTTTTTTTTTTTTTTTTTTTGCTGTTCAATTATTTTATTGTTTTGATATAGAATAAGGTAAGCGCAAACGTTTAGCCCATGCAAAGGCATAAGCAATGAAGAGATATAGATTACTTAGAGGTCAAATAATTTGCTGTGTAAGGTCTCAAGACAAACTTGTAAATGGGAATAATGTGGATACCCAGAAGCTGTCAGGCAAGAACTTCATGTAAGATGCCCAAGAATGTTAAAGGAAAGGGCCAAAAGAGGGAAAATAGATAGAACCAGAGAATAGAATTGGGGGGGGGGGCAGGCTAAAGGGCAGAGCCCAACTTCCACAGATGTGGATCAGGAGAATCCAGCAAAGAAAATTAGAGTGCTCAGTCTCTGGGTTCAAGGATGGTAAAGCATAATAGAGCTATGGTTCCCAAATTTTAAAGAATTTGGTCTGAGAATGGTTACGCATGCTAGACATATTTTCATTAACATTCAATTCATTCACTTCCTAAAATGGGACTGTAGGTTTACTCCAGGCTTTGGCTATCATGTGGTTTGTGGCCAGTTTCTGTTTGTGACCTGGAATTAGTAAGTGAAGAGCCAGTTGAGAAACTTTGTGAATGATTAGGTGGAATAGGGGTTAAAGGGGTCCAGAAACTCTGGACCAGAAAGCTACCAGTTTTAGGCAGGACCACCATGCATGAACTACATCACCCTGTTGGCCCTATTCTCTGAAACATCTGTCTTTATAGTCTGGGCTGGCCTGAGCGATCTGGGCTGGTACCCAGTACCTTCAAAATGGATCCTTTTATAAGTTGATTCCAAAATTGAAGTCTTGAAAAAATACTTGGATATATACAGCCAGGACTTACACCCAGTCTTCCAG